ATTTATATATATTTATATATATACTTTTTTTTGATCACAAAGAAGAAATAACAAAGATTAGTTATTTGAAAGGAATGAACATTTTTCTAGTCTTAAAGTATAAAAATCTAAGAAAATATCCGCGTACATACATAAGAATGTTACTCTTAAAAAGTGATAAGTACAAACGAGGTTTAAATACGCGGTTTATTGACATTTGTGTGCATAACAGCAATATTGGTTGGATGTATATTTATTTTGAAGAAAAATGGAAGAAGAAATAATTATATAAAAAAGATATTTAATCTCTTGATTTTAAATGTTTTAATATTAACAAAAATGCGCAATATTACATTTCTTAATATAACCTCTCTTTCTCACCCTTGTCGTAAACTGTTGTTGTTAATTTACGTCGCACTAGAGCTGCACAATGGGCTATTGGCGACGGTCTGGGAAACATCCCGGAGGATGATCCGATGACATGCTATCACAATTTTGATCCTCTGCAAAGGGGATGGCACCCCCGCTTCGGTAGCCCGACGGCCTGCGCGTGAAGTCGAGCACTTTACTGTAGAACAGTTTAACGAGGACCAATACCGAGCACCCTCGTTCCCTACGCAGACTGATCCAAGTGGTCACCCACCCGCACACTAACCGTAGCCAGTGATCTGCCAGTGATCTTGACTTTCGTGATCTGCTGGGTATCGTGTCTTAACGATCAGTCCACTGCGGGACTTTCGTAAACTGAAAATAAATTAAGGAAACCTCGATTCCCTTCAAGAGTGACACCATTTATGAATGATACTTTTGCATTTGTAACATTAAAAAAAAATGTGTAATATAAAATATGTTCAATTATTAGAATTTTGAAGAACATTGAAAAAGGTTTCTAAATTCTTTAATTAACCGAGTGTCACGACCCATAAATAGTAAATATTTAAAGAAAAAGTAAAAAAGGTATAAGTGTACGGTTTACTCTTAATGAAAGCTGCCATTCTCCTTAAGTTTGAAAATCTATTGCAAAATCTGTCACCAGATGGCGTTTCTTATGAGAAAAGCTATAGAACAATTATACATATATTTCCATGAGTAGCTGTTAATTTTAGTCTCTGACTTAGTTGCTGATAACATATTTATTAAAATTTTCATACCTTATTAAACAGACGTACACTTATTAAATAGACGTATACTTAGTAAATAGATGTCAAAACTGTTAAAAATATAAAAACTGAAGTTCCATTTTTATTAAAATTTTCATTTTAAAAAAACAATTTATTTACCCTCCTAGTAATTAGCAATTAAATTGTATATTTCTTATATAAGCCTTGACTTTAAGGAGAGAAAAAGCAGAAAAATTGCTCAAATTTTGCTTTTTTGTTATTTATTGCTTTGTAAAAGGGTTGCTTCGAAATAAAAGTCATTTATAACATTTTTAAACAATGAGTAAGCACTGCGGAACAAATTTTTTGTAGCATTTATACAAATATAGCTTAAATTGCTTGGGGTGATATCAAATCTAAATTGAGTTTTGTTTCTTAAGCTGCGGATTTTGTTTTAAATGACAGTCTATTTTTGTCGAAATGTACAAGTTTAAAAACGTTATATGTGACAGAAGTTATATGTGACATAAGACATAAATGTGTCTTAAGTCTTCTGGGAGAGTTAGGGCACATCATCAGGATTAAGTCTGCATAGGAATTCATGCCCGGAAATGTTGTCCTATATGACTAGGTACGCTTTCATATCATGACCTGTTCATAATCACACGAAGAAATAATTCATAATAGGGTACGGTACTTCTATTTATGGCACACTAGAGCTGCGCAATGGCCTATAGGCGATGGTCTGGGAAACATCCCTGAAGATGTTCTAGAGACAACATACATACGTTTTACAAAGAGGACGCATTCACACACCATCCATTCATTCGCAGATCGTGATTTTGATCTGAACTAGAGCACGATCAATCCCCGATCCAGTACCCCCAAAGGTATTGATTTATTGCAGGAAATTGGAGAACTTTGTGACCCTAACAGATTTAAGGAGAACCAGTCAGTTTATAATATGGAAGCGTGCCCCTAGTAGTGAATGACGTCACTTTAATATATAGGTTATTTTTAATTCCCCTAAAATTATGTTGCTACAGCTACGTTACCTCCTGTTATATGTAACATTTTTAAACTTACATATCTGGACATAAATTAGGTTAAAAATATCATTAAAAAGACTATAATTTGGAGAGAAAAACTAATTGCAGGTTTGAAATCAGGGATACGAAAGTATCTTCTTCTTAGGCACTACAGCTGGTTACCGGCCAAGGACGTATCAGTCAATTTACCCTATTTAAATCTATTCGATGCTATATTTCTCCATCTATTATTAACTTCCAGATCCTTTAACAATTTTTATACTCTATCTAACTAACTTGTTCTAGGTCTTCCTCTTTTTCTTTTTCCCTCTGGTGTTTCAAGATTATTTAGATTTTATTATCTTAGATTTATTAAAAAAATATCATGCAACAGAATAAATTTTGCAGGATTATTTACTTAAAATTGCAATAAAGTACTTACCACCAAAATAAACTCCGGCTGCTGCTCCAAGAGAAACAAATATAACTGCAAGAATGACACAGGCACACGCAGTTGGTGTGCAGCCTTCTTTGTGGGTAAATTTAATTTGATGACTATCCCCACTTTCACTCGGTGTACCACAACTACTGCTGTTAGTGATTGCACTAAAAGGAACTGAACGCTGTTGCAAAGCGTCCATACTCAGGCCTCTAAAAGAGAAAAAGAAATCATAAGCAAAAGAAGTGGATTATCTAAACTTTAATAACAAAGTTGTCTGTAAGAAAAACACAGGAAATATTGTGACAAAGTATAATTTAAATGTTCTTTTTGTCTGTGCAACAATACAGAAATGCTTGTTTCAAGCTTGATTCTGATTAAGGAAAATTATTTTATTATTATCTTTTTATCTTCAATGTTACTTTCTAACTGGAACGAACAAGTTGAATATACATAGTACCATATAAATATACAGTTAAATAATTGCTAACTTCAACACGAAGGGTTTCAGTGAGCACCGATGTAACACGGAGAATGCATGTAAACACCGTCAAAGATCAGTTTCCCAAAATGTTAATAAGTATTTTATGTTATTTTATAACCGTCGTTGAACAGCCGACGCAAATTTAAGTTTACGACTACCAATGTTGAACTCCGTAGCCTTATAATTTTAAACCCAATCCTGAAGACAAGGAAACTCCTGGATCAGTACCTCCAGAGGTTTTGACTTGATATGGAAGACTTTGTTACCCCGACGGATGTAACGTGCACCAGTTGCACTTCAATACAAGGGATTCTTCGGTCGTCTGGATTCGAACTCCCATTCTCACGATCACCAGTCCAACGCCCTTCCAACTAGGATATCCCGACCCAAGTTAATAAGTATTTTTGTTCGTTAATAAGTATTTTTATATTGAACAGTCGACCCAATTTTGGGTTTACGACTACTAATGTTCAACTCCGTAGCCTTGTAATTTTGAACCCAATCCTGAAGATAAGGGGACTCTTGGATCAAGTATTGGGAAAAATTTGCCTTCTTGAAGGATTTTTTTTTTGATGAAACTAACCTGCATTTGCGTTACACGGAAAGGAAGACCACGAGAACCTCCCACGGCTAGCCTGACGCCAAGGGGATTCTAACCCATGATCCGTCTAAAACTGAGGACGTTTCACGTCAGCACTGTGGTCGGTCGCAAGCCGGAAGCGGTATTCGTATCAATCAGTCCTTGCTGGGATTCGAACCCGATTCACCTCATTGAAATTATTAAGTATTATTGATTGTGCTGCAATTTTTGTCATGTCATTCATTTAAATGTTAAATAATTAAGTTAAGTAGTTGAAAAAAGAAGACAGCAATACCATACGAAAATGTTAAGAAATATTTTTCGAAGAAAGGATTCAGATTATTGTTCTTCTTGTATGTCCTGTTTTATAAGGTTTTTATACAATTCTTCTAGAATGATATTTGTATAGAAGCAATAAAAGCTGTATTTTTCTTGAGTTCGTTATATTATTCCGCCGTTATTATTCCGCCTACATGATTCCGTTATATTATTCCGTTACATTATAAAGCTACATACTTAAGCTAACAAAAACATTATTAGGACTGTATTTACAAATAACTTCCTGCAAGAATCCGGTTTAAGAAATATTGTGAAGATTACTTACGTAAGAGGTTGTTAACATCAATCATTACATTCATATCAATTTGAATATTATCTTTATTAAATAACTGAATGAAATTTCAAGAAAAAACATCGATTTGGAGGGTGCATAGATAAATCGATACACCCTCTGGTGACTATGATTTCGTTGTAACTTTAAACAAATTAGTTAAACTAATTAGATTTTTTCCTTCTGAGAAAAGAAAAAAAAACTTAGAACTTAGAATTAAAAATAAAAATAGGCTACACTGTCAACCAAACAAATATCAGAAACTTAAATAAAAATGCTTAATTAAAAATAATTTCGATCAATAAAATTCCAAAAAATATTCACTGCCAGCTTTTGATCTGTTTTTAGAACAGCTCCTAAAAAAGGACGTAGAAGTATACGTTTAAAACAGAATTTTTTAAATTTATTTTTCATACTTTTATTCATTATTTTGTATTAACTTGGGTCAAAATAAGTGAAAAATATTATATCTAGCATTTTAATAATTTATGGTTATGAAATACAACATGAAAGCATATCACGCATTTTAAAGCAGAAAATACAGCATATTTTCTGTATTGAAGATAAAATCTTCCAAACACAACTCACTTCCAAAAAATTATTTTTCTTCAAATTTGCAGTTATTTAGATCTAACGGAAACAGTTATTCGGCATTGAAAATCAGAATTGAATTTACAGAAACAATTATAGATAAGTTTTCGAATGTTAATGAAAAAAAAATTCAAACTACTTTTTCGGGTTTTATATTTTAGTACAAATATAATTCCGATAATCTTTTTAGTAAATATTTAGACTGGTAACATAATTAAAAAAGACTAAAATATATTTTAAATATATTTTTTCATAATTAAAAAAGACCAAAATATATTTTTAATATATTTTTTTCATAATTAAAAAAAGACCAAAATATATTTTTGTAATTAGAGTGTCAAAAAAATATATAAAAGGGGCACTGGTGTCCCATCTGCGTCAAAGGGTTAAAGGTACTTTTGCCTATCCTGGGTTAAAGGTTAAAGGTACTATTCATAGAAAATTTTAAATGAAAAGCAAGCTATTGTGATATTAGCTACGCACTTTTTATCCTAATTCATATTTGAATGCATGTAAATGAGGTACCAATGAGGAATATACTAGGATTGTTGTATTATGGAAAGGCGAAGAAACTTATTTGGAAAGTAATGCCTGATATATGCACATGTCTGAATATCTGAACTGATTGACTGCTTTGATCTCAGATAGCTATAGCTACTAAAGATGAAATAAATGTGACATATGCCTATTAAAGAGACCTGTTTCTGTCAACGTCCCAAAAGGACAATAAAGTCTTGTAACTGTTCAATCTGGAGAAGGCTATATTTATGCATTATGCATGAAGTGCTTTTGGAAATAGGCCCCTCTATTGAATCTTCACGTGCAAGACATTAGTAACAGCTGCACTTTTCCACGATACATACTTGAAATAGAACATGCTTCAGACTTAGCTGTCACTATCAGAGAAGATCTGCTTAGCATTCAGTGAACATCGAATGGGGTAAAGTTTTGGCAATGATGCTTTAGAAGAGGATTCGATGTCAAAAGCGCAATTTTGAAAAGATAAAGAAATGTGTATTCAGTTGAAATCGCTTTCTTTTTGGTCAAATATTTTTCTATTTTGTTAGAATTGATAATGTAAAGGGTTTTTAAAGAATATGGTAAAATAATGAAAATTTTTGTGAAGATTCTTAAAGAGTTTAAAAAAAAAGTTTTTTGTAAGAATTTCAAACAATGATAAATTTTTCAGTTTTTTCTAAATTGTTATGTCAGGCATCAAAATAAAAAATGTTTAGGGCGATTTCACACTGTGAAAATTTCGAGATCAAATAACGATAAAATGTACGGTTACTCAATTTGCTGATGCCATTTCCATTATTTATTACCGGGACATGTTACCGAACAAGAAATCCGATGTAAATTTGAAATAATAAATTAATGTAAAGTCACTGAATCACTCTAATTAAATAAATATTACGGTAAAAATTATATAGTGATATTTTACAATAGAATGGATTTGCACCCAATGCAATGGATGATGCACCTAAAAGGCCAGTATATTTAACCGTAATTTGATCCTGAAATTCTTACAGTGCACTGTGCAGGAACAATTAGAAATTATTATTTTCTCATTTTTTTTATATAAATGTGACTAATATGAATACAATTATATTTATTATATTCTAAACATTCACAATTAAAGCTAAGATATTTCAGACATTGATACGCATTTGCAACACATTTTTGGAAAACAAATATTAATTAATTATATGAGTCAAGAAAAAAAGGAATCATTCTTTAGATACTTATATGAATATTTATAAAAACTTTCCGGAATAATTTGCCATTAATTTTTGCAATTCAATTAATGCGAGAATATTTGTGTAATATCCTTTTACAGTGAATGAATAAAAATATTAAAAAGATGGATTTAGCTGATTTATTAGCATTTTCTAATAAAAAGTTTATTTTTCCCTGAAAAAGAATTATTTCTGTATAGAAGACTGCAAATTAAAAGAATATTATTTTCTTAGAAACGTTTTGTTATCCCTTATGAAATTATATTTTTATTAATTTCATGTAATATTTCATTAGGATGATTTTACTCCCGAGTTTTAATAGTTTTTTAAATATGTTGTATCCTAGCATCAATAATATGGAATGCGAAATAATTAACTAGAAAGGTATAAAGAAAGCCATGATGTTTTTATAATTTGGTTTGATTTTTAAACGTCGGTTTTTTAAAAAAACTGATAAAGAAAATAATAAACAAAACAAATCCCTATCATACATAATCTTGAGTTTTTATAACATTTTCCAAAAACACAATATCAGAATTTTAAGTTATTAATTTCTTTTAAAAAATAGCATTATAATTAAAACTTTTTAGCGCACATTAAATGATGAGAAATAAAAGAAGCAAACAACATTTTCCTTAACATTAATTCAAAGTCAACCTCGCTTAAGAATCGTCCCCAAAAAAGGTCCCTATACTAAAGAACACTTAGGTACAAAAATAGGGTTTGTATCCATGGTAATTTCAAAAATGATCTATTTAAATTATTCTTATAATAAAAAAATACCTTACCCAAGAGGCAAAATAGTTACAACCTAAATAAAAAAAAAGAAAGGCTACCGATCTAGGCCATAAAGTTTTTTTTTGACGTCTTTCTGAAATAAATTACTGCTTATTGATGTTCTATACTACATCGTATTACTGCAGGCAGCTAGGAACGCTCTTACAACTTTCATTCCCAGGAGTCTCACGGCAAAAAGATAGATCAAGGGGAAAAAAAGTAAACCAAATTCACCCTATGTGACCAATTTTTATGTTTACATGTATAGTTTACTAATGAAATGTTACTTTAATCACTAAGAACTGTGAGGATCATACATAAGTTTTACTGCAATTAGGGGATTACTATTTTGCCTTTATTTCCAGATTAGTTTTATTCCCTTAGGGTGGAGTTCTCATCGCTTTTTCTATTTCTTCAGTGAAATAACCCAA